GTTCAGTAGACATACCAGGTAATGGGGATTCACCAGAGACATTCGAACCCGCCTGCACTGCACGCACCTCGGCGCCCCTGCCTGCCGTTGTCCCTCTACCGAGCCTGGCAGCTCCGCCAGCGCTGCCACGACCCTATCCAGCCGCGAACCCAGTCCCGCGTCCGCGTCCACCTCCGCGCTGTGCACCAGCCCCACGCTCCGCCTGCCACCAGTCGGGATACCCATTCTTTGCAAAGCAATGGGATTCCTCGTGGCCTGATTTAGAGCAATAGGTACACACAAATTTAGATCTGTCACCCGAATCAGATCGACGGTTACCTGAGGGTGCAGTACGAACAGCCATGGCCATAACTTCATCACGTTCAGCATCAACACGATTCCCCAATCGCAATGTCTCCTGAGCCAACATTGCCTGATATGCTCTATCCAAAGTAGGTGTAGGATCTTGTGCAAGAAGAGTAGATCGTACATTACTGTATAATTCTTCATTGATGCCAGCCAAAAAATCATGAAAACATTCTTCATCAAAGCGAGCCTGAAATAATTCCCCCAAGTCACATTCACACTTCCCACAACGACAAACAGGGACTGGATTGTAAGTAGCCAAAGCATCCCATAATGGTTGCAACATCCCAAAATATTCTGCAACTGACATAGTCTTGGACTGACGACAACGAGACAACGCCTTCTTGATCTGCTGTCTGCGCTGACCATTGCCAACATTAAAACGTTTCTTCAGTAACGCCCACAGAGGACGCGCTTCTTCAAAATAAGGTATCGTCTTCCGCAGGGAAGAATCAATACTATTCAAAATCCATTGCACCAGCATAGCCTGAACACAATCCCAGTCAAGAATCTGTGCAGCGGAAACAGGTTTAACAATGGAGCCATCAATAAATCCCCACTTACGTCGGGAAACAAGAGAAAGCCGAAAAGATCTCGACCATTCCTCATAATTAGAGCCAACCAGAATAGTGGTAGTGATCAAACTACCCGGAGAATCATTTGAATGGAGGTAGTATGGTGAAGAAGTATCCACCTTGGTGGGTTTATCCACCACGTTGGTGGAGGATTCGGGTTCGTCGGTGTTTTTGGATGTTTGAGACATGGTGGAGGGTGGGCCGAAAAAAAACGAAGGAAGGGGGAGGGAGGCGAAGCCGCTAGATCTGATGGTTGGTCCGGCTCTTCGTCGGTGTTGGTGGGAATTTTAGGGTTTGGATCTTATTTTAGGCTCTGATACCATGATAAAATTGGGATGAAAGGTCATTTTCTTATTATTCACAGAGTGTTCAATATATAGCGTACAAACCTGTAATCACAGGCTAATAATCAGGGAAAACAATATACTATATATATATTATTTCCTAACATATATTCTTTCCTAACATGCTGACTTGTAAATGACGGGTCTCTAGCTAAGATTAAGAGACTCCGATAGTATAGATTGAAGACGTTTTGTGTCACAATGTGCATAGGCTATTAAAAACCTTGGAGGTCATAGAAAAGCTTGTTGATCAAAAGTGACTCCCTCTTACACAACACAGAAGATACTGACCCAGTTTCATAAATGGAGAACCATAGTCATTTAAAAAAAAATAGAAATTCAAAATACATCATATATGATATACTACCTTTAATGGAATAAGTTGCCACAATATAGACAACGATATACAGACATGTAGAACTGCGCACTTTTGAAATATGAGTAATCAACCACATAATACTCATAACAGACTTCTATATTGGTGCATGGTTTGAATTGATTATTATTAGGATTAAAAATGTCATCTGTTGTGCGCAGCGGAAATTTCGGCAGCACTTCGGCAGCACAACAAGAGAGTCAGATCGCAATAAGAATTCCCGTCTCACCAAGGAGACAAGAATCTGAAGCGGATATCTCAACCAAGTGAGATATCGGCTCTTCCTCTCATCAGTTCTAGGACTGACCTGTCGAGGGATCCTAAAAGCTATTACAAATCACACAAAAGCAGTACAACCAATTTTTACGTGGTTCGGCAAATTGCCTACGTCCACGGGGCAAGGAGGGGGGAGATCTACTAATAGAGGGAGAGAATACAACTAGGGTTTACAATCACTCACAACTAAAACCCTCAAACAAACTCTCAGATCCCTCACAATATCTCTCTACAAAAGCACAAAAGTACTGCACTATTTCTTTCTGCAGCCGCACAAAAGAACTCCTGCACTTTCGTACTTGAACACAGCTGGCCGCAAAATTATCACAAACCCAATCCTCTGCCTGAAGCCACAGCCGAGAAAAAAAAGGACAGCAGACTCCTTTTTCTTTTTCTTTTGCGTTTGCTTCTGCACCTGATCGCTTGCACCCTGTAGCCGCCAAAGAAAATCAAAGCTCCTTGCTACTCTATGCCCTAGAAACAAATAGTATATATATAGGCTTGTATAGGCTATTGGGTGGGCCTTTCACTTTGTCCGCTGGACAAAACCAACCAAGGCCTTTCACGTTGTCCGCTGAACTAATCACATGGTCCCCACCTTCACGTGTTCACAATATTTTGAAACTAAATCATGTGTGCAATATAATATATTTTGGAAATATAGATAATCTTTTTTTCCTATAAAATTGGAGCATTACTCAGATCCGGAGAAGTTGGATAGCATTGATCACAACCATTTTTCTGCATCATTTTGTGCATGTGCATTATCTTTGCTAAAATTGATGCAGAGGTTTTGTAAATCAGCTTAATTACAAGCGTGCATTTCATGCACGACTGGTTCTAATTTTGACTCCTTTTATAATTTTTGGTGAATTTGTATGATAAGATTTTCAATTTTAAACTACATACCATGTAATACAGCAATATTGAAGATTACCCAGAATGCATAATACAATAGTAGTATTTGTCTTATATGGATATAGAATTTAAAAAGTAGTTAATGTATACATAGGTGGGCACGTGCATGCATGTGCGTGTATATATGCATACGTACATACATATAAACATACAGAGAGAGAGAGAGATTGGTATGTTGCTGATGTGAAAACAACTATCATCTTAATATATTGATGATCAAGAATTCATGCATGTGAAAACAATTAAATGATTCATTAATTATGTTCATATTGTTCAACATATAGAGCATTAGAGATCTACACTCAATAATCATGCAGTGTACATACATCAAGTGAGCGTAACAAGAACATTTTGTAAGAAATTACTTGAATAAATGATTTAGGACACACAACAGAATTAAATTAAATATAACTATCCCCAACCATTGTTGTCTAGAACGGTTTGCAACTCAGATAACTAAATGGAAAAACTATAAGTAAACTGAGCATAAACATAAGTAAAGAATATAATTAGATCGCTTTTAGAATAAATAAAATAAAGAAATACATAACCCATGCCTTACTGAATAGCCTAAATCTGATAAAGGAACTATGATCGTATTTATAAGCTAGGTTAGGAACCTTCTATTATAACATCATTAAGATCACGTCTATTTTTCTTTATTGTGACTTTGTGAGACTAGGAGGTATTGGGACACCTGGAATATAGTCTTGAGACTGTATTATTCTCGAAAGTTTGCTTTCATATATATACTAACTTTGGACTAACTTAATATAGTCAAACTAGTGTTTGTTTTTAGGATATTATGATCTTTGCAACTAATATCATAACTAGATAATCATTTTGCCCTTCAATCAACTAATGTTGTATTAGTTCATTTGTTTGCAACAAAACAAAATTGGGACATAACCTAGTTTAGGAAAAACAAAAGTTTGCATAAAACACAAAACTACGTACACAAGAAAAGTTATTTACACGCAACAATTAAAGATCAAAGATCAGCCATAAAAGTAGTCCCTAATGATTGTTATTGCAATTTGCAGGTAATGTCGATCTTGGCTTTCACTAATCTGAATCTTAATTGATGATTATTATAGTTGGGTTGCTTTATAGTGAAACGTAGTCTTGTAATGATTCTATAACACATATTAGTCGTCTAAACTTTGGAGGACAAATTTTCTAAACCAACCTATTTGGACTTTTATTCCCAAAAAACGACCCCATTCAAAAATAATTGCAAAAACCGACCTGGTTTCAGCCTCAGTGCTGAAACCAGGTCGGTTTCTCTAAATAAATGTGAAACGGGTCTTTTTTTGGGAATAAAAGTCCAAATAGGTTGGTTTTGAAAATTTGTCCAAACTTTGGATGACACATCATATATAACGTCCGCGAGTTAGACTTCACTCGGATGCTAAAATATTAGAGATTAGACGCATAAAAAGCATAAACAATGCTTAAGCCAACAGAAAGCATTTATGTTTTCTTAGTTCAATTGTCTAGAGTTCTATAAACTAATGGCATAGTTAGGTAACTCGTATTTCTGAAAGTTAAACGCAACGTGATCTTGCCTTTAGCCTATTGGTTCTTTTCTATCATTTTGCTTGAAAGGATGAAGAGATTCCAAATTACTTGTTATATTTATAATTCTTCAACAATCAAAACTTTTAATCAGACACTTAAGAGGCCCTGCAATGAGCCAAGCTGTGCAAAGCAGATAAAATGCACGTTTAATCAAACCTTTTATGGTATTGATATCATCTTTAACATTCACATTATCGTATTAAAATATTCGAGTTTATAATAGGAAAGGAAAGATGCATCTTTTTATAATTGAACGCCAAGTATTTTAGATTTCATAACATTTGATTATTTTAGTGGACTGTAACGTCGGATAAAATCGTGTAACACTCTAAAGCGCAAAATAAATTAATGTTCGCCCTTTCGCACCAATCAACACAACCGGTCTAGACAAAAAGAAAATAAAAGTCTTATAGAGGGCACTCCATCGTAAATCATATAAATTGTGATTTGCAGTAGAAATTCTGAATCAGCTCAGTTAGTATATAATATCAATCTAATTAAAAAAAGAACAATCAGAATGTTGGATCAATACAATCATCAATATTGTTCGTCTCTAATTTTTTAACCGGAAGTTCTCACAAGTCCTCAGTCAAACCTGTCGATTTTATTTATTAGTGGCATGAATAGCGATTAAAAGCTCAGAAGGGGTCCCAAAAACTCTTGAGCATATGAAAAAAGCAAGATATTATAGCGCTATGCTGTGACAAAAAAAACCTAAAACATGTCCAAAAATATTGGAGATCCTAAAAGAAAAGAAAAGAAAAGGCATGAAACTAGCTTAAGTCTGACATGCTCTTCCCAGCGGTAATTCAGTATTTTTTTTTTCCTAATATCATATAAACCTAAAGAATCATCTATGAGAGCCAACTTAACATTCTGTGGTAAATTTAAAGCATTATTAACCAAGACATAACAATCAATAGCTCTTTCAAATTGCATCGATGATTGTCTAGCATTTATTTGCTTACTAGCAAAATGAATGGTGCAGTATTGAACCCGTGCTCTCTGGTCAATAGATACGATCTGCTCTCTAGTCAATATAACATTAAATACTGGTGGCCGCACTAATAAATAAGAAAATTAGGGGATTATGTTTCTCTTGCAGTGTTATTGCTGGAAATTTTCAATATTATGTCTAAAGAGTAGTGATAACTAGATTCACTCTCAAACTACTTTTCAACATGAAACAAATGTACAAGGTCTTTGATGACATAAATTTCAATAGCAATTCATGAGAAAATATCTCTCACTTTTTTTTCTTATAGTATACAAATAGTATTGCTAGTTAATTTGTTTTCCTATGTACAAATAGCCTGTGTACTTCACGTGACCTCAAAAGTTTATCTTCTATTATTACTGCTTTGATGGATATATACTAGAATGATTTACTCACCGGCAACCAATAAATAATCATTACATAATATTTTTGAAACTAAATTACCCTGTAAAACAAATTTTACAGTAACCCTTACAGATATCAGGGTAAGTATTATCGTAAAGTCGGAGAGAAGGCAAATCCTTCAAGTATTTGAGACACAGCTTCCTAACATCTACTTGTCCCATTTATTTGTCCAACAACCAAAGTATTTTTGGTTTCCAAATCAAAAAGGGTAAATGGGAAAAATAATAAGAATGACATTCTACTCCTTAGGCAAGGGCATTTTTGTAAAGTACAAAGATGTGAAAAGCAGGTAGCCGAAATCAAACTAGCATCACTCGTCTCATGACACTATAAAATACAAGGGTGGGAGTAGCTAAATCAACAACTGCAGCCCCTCCAATCCTTCTGCTATTCATTTCTCTTATTACTATTACCAGAATCAGAGGTTTAATGGAGGATAATCTAAAAGACGCGGACGCAAGGAGCACGAAAATTGATGCATTGGGCGTAGAATCAGGGCAGCAAGTAGCAGAATATGTGAATGTTTCAGCTCATGCAGTTGACAAAGGTCAGTTTATGAGACCAATGAGTTTCCATTAGCTCTCTCTCAAATATGCTTACAATGAATATCAAGTTTATGGTTATCTAAATATAATATTTTTAAAGGAAAGATAGGCATGAAGAGGAAGACGAAGAAGCCTCATAAAAAAATTCTTTAGAAAAAAAGAAAAAAGAAACCAAGAACAGTTTGTTTCGATCTGTATCTTTTTACCCATAATAGGGATTGGTATTATCCGGATTTCATTCGCTCGCTATCAGTTAACAAGGTACAAGCTATCCTATCTAATTATTTCCATAGATAGTTTTGATAGTTTTCAATACCAAGACAGAAATCAAAGTTTTCGTTTCAAGAGTTTTTAAATCATTCGCTACAGAATACAACGCAAAAAAAGAAAATGAATTAAAATTGTAATAAGATGTATTCCGGGTTTTTGAGAACCGTTTGAATCAAGGAATCATTCAAATATTTCTCAAAAACCTGCTCAAACTTTCCATTATATATACGACGATGGTCTTATGTATTCCTCATGGAATTTATTCAATTAGATGTTAATCATGTGTGCAATAATATATATTTGAAGGAACAAATATATTAGCATTTTTTTTCAAAATAAATTGGAACACAGCTCAAATATCAAGAAGTTTTTTTTTTTATGATCATGTAGAGCTGAATAACATTGACTACAACACTATAGATAAGCTGTGTATTGCGTGCAAGACACTAGGTTCTGATTTTTGTTCCCTTTTTTCTGACTTTTAAGTGCTGAATAAAAATTTGTTTTCAAGCTATATGATGAAAGTCTAAGACAATAATTGAACTCAGCTAAAATGCGCAGTATGATAATGGCTAAGGTTGATGGAGGATGAGCACTCCACAGTCATGGCGGTAGCTTTACATCTTTTCCTATAAATTGAATATTTTTTCAGTAGATTTCCTCACTTGCTATATGTCAATCAAGTTGCTCTCAAATGCTAATAATAGCCCATTCTCATTGACTCTGAGGAAACAAAACATACCTTCTCCAGTGGTATTTTTTTTTAATATGGAGGGGGAAAAAAAGAAAAAAGGAAGCACGCACGAGTCTGATAAAGCTGCTATGTACACGACTTGAAAAGCTGTAAAAAGCTAGAATTGACCCATATTTTTCAGGCAAAAATGGTTTATATTACAGACATTTAAAAAAACAGAAATTCAATGTTGAAGTTATAAATGAGACATCGCTGCTCTCTTACTCCTTCAATACAGAAATTTACAAAATAAAAGACTACGACAGAAGAGAGATTTTCATTACGATTGTGCACCAGCATCTTTTTTAATTAATGCTTGTAACAAAGAAAGTTTTTTTTTTAATGTGAACCAATTCCAGATTTATTCAGCTTTTCAGGCCAGTTGTGTACGTAGTAGCTTTATCCGACCCGTGCTCCCTAATTTTTTAAAAAAATTCAAAAATAGCACTGGAGAGATTTTTTTTTTGAGCATTGCTATTTGGCTCGCGGTTGGTCCGCGAGCCAAATAGTTTTTTTGTTTTTTTTTAAATAAGGAAACTAGTTCGAGTACTTCTCTTGCGCCTTAGAGTTAGTGAGAATTGACTACTACTAACATTTGATATCGACTTGATGTAACAAAAAGGTGAGGCAACCTACTGGAGAAAATTCAATAATAATAATAATAAACTAATGTTCATCCCCAGGGGTTGTAGTTGGAGATTATAATAACAAACACAAAAACAAAGGGAAAGATGGAGATAAATGATGGGGGCCCATGAATTAAAATAGCCAAATTGGGACAGCTAACTTTTATGATTTAGCACGAACCTCGTAATTATTGAAATTAAACTTGATTTTGGATCAAGTTTAATTTTGGGTTTATGATGGAATTATTCTAAGTTTGACCAAACCCAAAATTAGGTCCAAATTCTAGAGGTTTTCTAGAAACACTCTAGAATGTTGATCACCTCCTTAAAGTGTTCTAGAGAAATCTTTAAGCTAAATATCTAGATAATAGTATAGAAACATCTAGATAATTTGTGATAAAAATATTTAGATATTATGTAGAAATTTCTAGAGATTAGAAAAATATCTAGGAACTATGGAGGTGATATTAGAAGAATCTAGATCCTTTGTAACATATCTTTGGGAGGCTATAAATACCCCCTCACCTCTCTCATTTGTAAGCAAGAAGAAAAAGTTGAACAAGTGAATAAAGCAAGTTCAAATAAAGAGTCTTCCTCTTCATAAGTTCTCTACATTTCTCTAAAAGTCTTTCAAGTGTTCTCTAAGTGTTCTTCATATTCTTCTTCATACTTAGAGGTTTATTCTCTTGGTTTCTTTCGGGTTTCTCGGGTATTACGGTCTTAGGCTAGTGCTAAGCACTATCGGTGTTATCTTTACATGGTATCAGAGCCATTCTAATCTTGTGCTCTTCAAGATCGGGGTGTAAAGAGAGCTCGGGTTTACTCTAAGTATGGAATCAATGGGTCGTGTCGTTGGATTGGGAATGGAGATCTTAAACCAATCTAACTACCGGTTATGGAAGTCATGTATGGAGTCATACTTGGTTAGTGAGGACTTATGGGATGTCGTCGGCGGTAGCAGCACAACACCACCAAGGGGAGATGCTGCAACAGCGGAAGCGACAAAGGAGTGGACACGGAAGAATGCCAAGGCGGAGTTTGCTTTGAAGAGGTCAATATCTTCAGAACTATTTGAGCATGTCTCAAGATGTACATCCGCAAATGCCATTTGGCAGGCACTAGATCAATTGTTCAACAAGAAGAACGAGGCTCGTCTACAACTGTTAGAGAACGAGTTGGCGAATGCGAAGCAGGGGGAGTCTTCAATCTCAGAGTTTTTCATCAAGGTAAAAAAATCTTTGTTCTGAGATTAATACTCTCAATCCGGAGGAGTCGATTTCGGAAGCACGGTTGAAGCGGTCTATTATTCGTGGTCTACGACCCGAATATACACCGTTTGTTACTTCAGTTCAAGGATGGGCTACACAACCTTCCTTGGAGGAGTTTGAAAATCTACTAGCTTCGCAAGAATCACTAGCCATGCAAATGGCGGGAGTTAAAGTCCATGATGACTCGGGGAGCGCTTTTGTAGCGGGGAGACAACAAAGCTTCAGAGCCAAACCCAAATATGGTAATGTGAAGAATAATGATGGACGAGAAGGATCTTCTACGGGAGACAAGAAGCGATTCAAGTGTTATCGGTGTGAAAAACTTGGGCATTTCAAAAAGGATTGTCGAGTCAAGCTGAAGGAAACAAATATGGTGGAATCAAAGGGTCATACTGAAGACAAAGAATGGGAAAAATGTTTCACGGTGGAGGCTGCATCTTCAGGTACATCCAAAGCTAAAAATCTTGGAAATGATTGGATTGTGGATTCTGGTTGTAGTCATCATATTACCGGAGACGAGAAGTTATTTTCTAGTCTTCAGCGTCATGACGGGAAAGAAGCCATCATTATTGCGGATAATTCAATCCACCGCGTTGAGAAGGAAGGGACAGTCGTTATTAAAGGAGATGATGGAAGCCCAATCACTCTCAAGAACGTATATCATGTTCCTGGAGTAAGGAAGAATCTTCTCTTTGTGGTGAATGCGGTAGACTCAGGTAACTACGTTTTATTTGGCCCAAGAGACGTTAAATTCTTAAAGAATATTAAAGAATTAAAAGCGGACGTGGTTCACACCGGAGCACGGGTTAAGGATTTATATGTTTTATCGGCCTCAAATTCTTATGTTGAGAAGATGAGTACGAATGATAATGCCTTTATATGGCATGCTAGGCTTGGTCATATAAATATGACTAAGCTAAAGGTTATGGTGAATAAGGATTTGGTTAACGGGCTCCCAAAGTTAAAGATTCATGATGAAGGAAAGCTTTGTGAAGGCTGTCAATATGAAAAGTCACATAGGCTTCTATTTGACAACTCCACTTCACGATGCAGCGCTCCGTTGGTAAGGGTCCATAGTGATTTGATGGGTCCAACGAGAACATCCTCCTATTCTGGGTTTCGATACATGTTATTGTTTGTTGATGACTTCTCATGGTACACTTGGGTATACTTTGTGAAGGAAAAATCAGAAGTATTCTCCAAGTTTTAAGAATTCAAGGTTACCGTGGAGGGAGAATTAGGTCAGAAGATCAAGACTTTAAGGACGGATAATGGAGGGGAGTTCATGTCAAAGGAGTTTCTCTTTTTTTGCCAAAAACATGGTATCAAGAGAGAATTTACATGTCCGTATACACCTCAGCAAAATAGAGTAGCAGAAAGGAAGATAAGACATCTAAGCGAGACATGTAGAAGCTGGTTACATGACAAAAATTTGCCTAAGGCCTTATGGGCGGAAGGCATGAAATGTGCAGCGTATGTCATCAACCGGATGCTACTTAGTCCGAACAATATGAAGTCTCCTTATGAGATGGTTCATGGGAAGAAGCCAACGGTGAAACATCTCAGGATATTTGGATCAATCTGCTACGTCCACGTGTTTGACTCTCAAAGAACCAAGTTGGAGGTAAAGGTGAAGAAATGCATCTTTGTCGGCTATGATGAACAAAGTAAGGGCTGGAGGTGTATGGATCCAGAGACACACAGGTACACCGTGTCTCGTGATGTTGTCTTTGATGAAATTTCCTCATTTTATGGGTCACCTCAAGTCTTGGTCGAACAAGAAGGTGGGGGTTCCTCCAAGATCGATGAACCGGTTGTTCAAATGCCAAGTGAAAGCGGAAGTCTTGAAGAAGAGACGCAAGGTGAAAGGGGGAGCACTGATCAAGAGGAAGATGAGGAAGAAGATCGTAGTTCCATGGCTAATCAACGGCCAAAAAGGAACATTGTTAAGCCTGCTCGGTTCAGAGATGAAAGGTTTGTCATTACTTACTCATGCTACTTTGCAGCTCCATTAGATGAAGAGGAGCCATCATCGTATGATGAAGCAAAAGGAGTTCAAGAGTGGGAGGGAGCAATGAAGGAGGAGATGAATGCTCTCATGAAGAACAAAACTTGGGATTTGGCTCCAAAACCCAAGGATGTCCAACCCGTTTCTTGTAAATGGGTATACCGAATTAAGCAAAAAACGGATGGGAGCATTGACAGATTTAAGGCAATGTTGGTTGCTCGAGGGTTCTCTCAAAAATATGAAGAAGATTATGATGAAACTTTCAGTCCAGTGGCAAAGATGACTACGGTACGCTCACTTTTATCTTTAGCCGCAAGCTTTGGTTGGAAGTTATTGTAACTAGATGTGAAGAATGCTTTTCTATACGGAGAGCTTGATAAGGAAATCTTCATGGAGCAACCGCTTGGTTTCAAGTCACGAGAGCATCCTGATTATGTCTGCAAGCTTAAAAAGGCTTTATACGGGTTAAAACAAGCTCCTCGAGCTTGGTATGGAAAGCTTGCTCAATTCCTTCAGTTTTGCGGGTATGTGCCATCAAATTCTGATCCGAGTCTATTCTTCAAGAAGAATGAAGGAGTCCACGTGGTGGTTCTTCTTTATGTGGATGATATGATCATCACCGGGAATGATGATGCTGAAATTGCTCGTCTACAAGAGGATATGTCGGTGAGGTTTGAGATGAAGAAGTTGGGTGAGTTGAACAATTTTCTTGGTTTGGAGGTCGAAAGGGTAAATGATGGAATATTTGTCGGCCAACAAAGCTACGCAAGAAGGATTGTTGAAAGGTTCGGAGTACACAAAAGGAAGACACGTACTACTCCGATGGACGTGAACATAAAGCTTAAACACGATGAAGGGTCCTTGCTACCTGATCCTCGACCTTATCGCTCTCTTGTAGGAAGTCTTCTATACTTAACCATTACAAGACCTGACCTTGCCTTCGCAGTGGGTCTCGTAAGTCGGTTTATGCAAGAACCAAGGAAGCCACATCTAGAAGCTGCAAAGAAGATTTTGAAGTATGTAAAGACAACTCTTGGCATGGGTCTGATGTACAAGTACAATGCCAAGGTTTCTCTTCATGGTTTCACGGATGCTGACTTTGGTGGAGATCTAGATGATCGAAAATCAACTTCAGGGTATGTGTTCTTATGTGGAGACACAAGTGTTTCGTGATGCAGCAAGAAGCAAGCAACATTGTCATTGTCTACCACTGAAGCGGAATATAAAGCTTCAACACTCGCAGCTCAAGAGTGTATATGGCTTCGAAGACTCCTTGAAGATTTGTTGGAGCCAATCAATAAGCCGGTTGCAATTTATGGAGATAATCAAAGTGCTATCAAGTTGGCTAATAATCCGGTGTTTCATGCAAGGACGAAGCATATCGAGTTAGAACATCATTTCATAAGGGAGAAGGTGCTTGATGGAACAATTGAAGCTTTGGAGGTTCGAAGCGAAGACAACGTTGCAGATATCTTCACCAAGTCACTACCAAAGGGCCAATTTGAGTTACTTCGCTCGAAGCTCGGGATGGTTGACAAAATCAAGTTTAAGGGGGAGTATTGAAATTAAACTTGATTTTAGATCAAGCTTAATTTTGGGTTTATGATGGAATTATTCTAAGTTTGACCAAACCCAAAATTAGGTCCAAATTCTAGAGGTTTTCTAGAAACACTCTAGAAGGTTGATCACCTCCTTAAAGTGTTCTAGAGAAATCTTTAAGCTAAATATCTAGATAATAGTATAGAAACATCTAGATAATTTGTAATAAAAATATTTAGATATTATGTAGAAATTTCTAGAGATTAGAAAAATATCTAGGAACTATGAATGTGATATTAGAAGAATCTAGATCCTTTGTAACATATCTTTGGGAGGCTATAAATATCTCCTCACCTCTCTCATTTGTAAGTAAGAAGAAAAAGTTGAACAAGTGAATAAAGCAAGTTCAAATAAAAAGTCTTCCTCTTCATAAGTTCTCTACATTTCTCTAAAAGTCTTTCAAGTGTTCTCTAAGTGTTCTTCATATTCTTCTTCATACTTAGAGGTTTATTCTCTTGGTTTCTTTCGGGTTTCTCGGGTATTACGGTCTTGGGCTAGTGCTAAGCACTATCGGTGTTATCTTTACAGTAATATCATACTACAGTGCGTGTGCACGTGCGTTTTTATCTCATGGGTACACGTGTGTCTTGTGTGTATGTTGCTGCTACCGTGTGCTTCATTTACTGCTTCATCATTTGCTTATTATTCCTTCATTTTTTTTAAAAAAATTTAACTTCCCCACTTTTTTTAATGCAGATTCATGGCAACAAGTTGGATTGTTGATGGTGACTGGCTTCAACTGTGCTTATGTGTTGAGTTTCTCAAACCTGATGTTGGTGCCATTGGGCTGGGCCTGGGGCCTCACTGTCCTCGTAGTAATGGCGGCATTCGCCTTCTATGCAAACTGGCTCTTGGCTGAATTCCATATAATTGATGACCACAGATTCATCAGATACAGAGATATCATGGATTACGTATTTGGTACTCAACTCATTTCCATCCTGTAGCACAACAAACAAAGATAAATCACAATCACATTTGATGTATAACTATCATTTCATCAGCAAAATAAGTCGCAAAGAGAGAAAAATATTAGGCCTATCTGCTCCAACATGACTAGCAGTAGTGGTTCCTCGTAACTCATTTAGTAAAGTAAGTTGTCACCTCACATCCATTTTTTTCTCTCTAAAGAAACAGAGAAGAAATACATATAATAAAGTGCTCCAGGCATCATCACCGGTGATCACAACTTCCACTCAAACATTAAATAAATAAATAAATACAACATAAAGAAAATACATGTTATTACGCCAAGAAAAAGGCCTTCCACTTCAATATTCTATGAGGACTAATATAAGCCATTTTCCTTCAACTCATACTAGGAGACAATAGAAATCCAAATACATGCACTCTGGTAGAATACTCATAACATGAGGTTCATGCAATATGTTTTTCTGGTACAAAATGTCTAAATGCATGGCAAAACTTTTTTAGAAAAAAAAAAATCCGCTTTAATCCTGTTCCTGAAGGGAACCGAATGCTTAATAGCCCGACACAATCAAAAGCCAAAACTCTGGAGGCTTAGTTCGAATCCAATTATGAGAGCCTACCATTTAATGCTGTCATTAATGACTTTAGGGTCACTGATAGTTCCAGATAACCAAACTGACAAGTTCTCTAACCATAAGCCTTTGATCTTGTTCATACAACAATATGTTGTTGGCAGAAAAAAAAAATTCCATGTACAGATAATGGCATATATCACCAAGTTGGAAGAGAATCAGCTAGAGGAGAGAGAATTTTACCAGTGTAACAAAAAACTGTATCAGGCAATCACAAACATTGAATCGATGCAATCAGAACATTGTATCGTTGCATTCACTGACTTTAGAAAGTGAGCTGAAACACGAATTGTGTTCTCCTTTCTCCCTAAATAATTTTCTATAGAGGGACCTCAATAGTTTTTCCCCCATCCACGTTATTAGTCTCCATATCAAACTGCAAAATTCCTGCACCTGTAATATTATCACGAGAATGCACATTATCAGTCGCAGAGCCAATAAAGATTCTGGAAGTTATCAAGAAAGTGTACTTGAAATATACCACAACAGCTACAAATAATGTCGGCAAAGAACTGCTATTATTGTATATGAAATTATAATGCAATTTTATTAATTATGAAATCCTGCCTATTTTGCAGGGAGGAGATTGTATTACACCACATGGATCTTGCAATTTGTAACTTTGTTACTCGTTAACATGGGCTTTGTCCTTCTTGGAGGAAGAGCACTGAAGGTGCCTATTTACACGATTATTTAGATTGCATAGAGGTCAACTTCCAATAAAATTTATACAGAGCAAGAACAGATAAGAATTTCCCCTTCTGAGTTCAAAATTAAACAAAGTTGTCTCCAGAAAAGCTTGACCATGAAAAGATTCTTATAATTCACTTCCAGTAAGAAAATATGGAGGTTACTTGTCTGATGGACTTCTATTTAATCAAATGTTGTTATTCGGAATGCAAAATTTTACCTGCTCTAAAAGCCGGCGTTTGTGTTTCTCACTCCCTTTACCCAAGTAAATGATCTATAATAGTAGAAACTAAAGAGTACTTATTGATTTTTCACTTGGTCATCCTCTTCTATTTTCGCTCTTTTTCCGCTTCAATTTCCACTAATACTTCTCCACCATACCTAGCAGTATCAGTCCGATCATCTTGCTAGGAACAAAAACCAATCATGCACAGGAACACAAAGTGAAAATATTGGAAGACGAAGTGAAAATATTGGAAAAGCTAGGTTTTGACTAACAGATATGCCATTTACAGAACAACCTCTACTTCTACTGTCTACATGACTGTTATTCCACCAACTACCTGGACTCTGAACCTTTTGTTGTTTTACCAGTTTAACATCCCAAAGAATGTCACCTTTAGCATTAATTGCAGTTCAAGATTCCATCCAGTAAATTATATATTTACTTACTCAAAATTTCAATCACGGTTATTAGTTTCAAGCATCTAAAATTTGTCTTGACATGAGTGTTAGGCGTAGTAACTTTTTTCTGGCAAATGGAATTATGATTCTGATAACTTTTTATTTTGTAAGGTATTTATATGAGCTATACAGGATCGAGACTAACATATCCTTCTGCACTCCCTCATACTCTTTAGAAAATGTTTACAGAATAAAGGAGTAAAACAACTAACTAGTTTAGGGAACACTAAGTCTGACTTGTCATATCTGAAAAGTATCAAAATATGGGGCTTACTCTCACTTCACTATTAAAAGATATTTTGCTTTTGGGGAATCTTTATCGATTTCTACAAATAGCCACAATGTGACCTCTCGTTCTAATCGTTGGGGTTGGAAAGGCTCATTAAGGAGATGGACTAGGCTAATCTACTTTGACCAAATTGACTCAAAAGGGTTAACCCTATTTGAGTCATTACTCCAAACATATTTAACCATCTATTTAACCATCTATTGATCTAACTCTCTCTCCAATGTGGAATTAATCCTATCCCATGCCTTTTTACTACTAACCAAACCCGCACATAACTGAACGGACACCCTTTACAAATCTCCACCGTTGGCTCGGATCTAGTTGAGTTCAACTAGAGCCCAGAACAAATGGGTAACTCGAGCCTAGACCATATGGCTAATTTGATAAGTGTCTGACCACTTTGCAGTAACCTCCTGCAAATATGATAGCATGTGCACCCAAGGGAACCCTAAGGCTAGTTACAATGGGGTAGTTGAATGATGAATTAAATAGTTGAATGGGTGTAATGGGGGTGTTGAATGGGGTGTTGAAAATGAGGTGGATTAAATAGAGTTGGAAGAATTCAACATGTTGAAAGAGGAGGGAGTGGAGCCCGCGCTGGACACGTGGCGGGCTCTGGATTAGCCACGCCGAGCGCTACAGGGGGGCGCTGACCCACGCGCAGGGGCTGGTGGGATGAGGACACGTGTTTTTTTCTTATTGGCTGCTGTGATTTTTGAGATTTTTATCTCATCCTAATTATTTGGGGTCAATTATTTCATAGTAAATGAAAAAAAAAATTAATTTTTTTTTCACCAAAATTCATCATTTTTTATACTCTATAAATAGAGCCTTGTTTCATTTCATTTGGACACAGAAAAAAAAACGCATTTTTTCCCTCTAATTTTTCTATTAGCCTCCAATAAACTCTTGCTTAGTAGCTCTAAACATCTTTTTTAGCAAAATGGATCCCAACAATAACCCTTTCAACACCCAAAATTCTACTAATTACCCTTTCAACTACCCAAATCCCAACAATTATCAATTTCAAAATCAATCTTCCAACCAACAATGTCCCCAAAATATGCCAAATTATGGATTTGCTCCAAATTTCATCATGCCGTCATCTGTTCCAAATTATCGTCCATATTATGGATCAATGATGCCATATTCATCTCAAGCACCCCCTTATTATTCTTCTACTCCAATGGGAAATGAAAATGTTCAGAATGTTGGAGCAAATGAATTTCCCGAATTTTCTACACAAATGGCTCTTGGTAGGGTGTTGAATTTTATTAAACAAAACCATTGTAGAGTGTAAAAGTTGAGTGGGTGTTGAATTATTAGGTGGAAGAGAGAGAAGATGACGTGGAGTGTTAAAAAGTAAAAAGTAGGGTGTTGAAAAACAAAACCATTGTTGATAGTCTAACCCATGTTAGACCAAGTTACACCGAAGGCAGTCATAATGTAACATGATGAACGCTCCACGTTGACTAACCCATGCAACAGAATCTTGAAGCAAATATAGCATCCAAGAGAGGCCAATCAACCTATAAGCTCTGACACCAATTGTTAGGGTTGGAAAGGTCCGTTAAGGAGATGGACTAGGCTAATCTACCTAGGCTCAATTGACTAAAAAGGATTAATCCTATTTGAGTTATGAGTTCAAGCATATGTAACCATCTCTCCACATCTCTTTTCAATATGGGACTAAATCCCATCATATGTCTTTTTAGTATGTTAGTCGACATGCCTAACTTGCTGTCGTACCCGTGTCGGGTACGTTTTCGGTCCAAACACCATGGACACGGAGATAAAAATTTTCCGCACGTGAGAAGAAGTTTAGGATGGGAAAATTTGATCTATTTGGTGATTGGTCTGACTTTTAGACCTCATAACCCATAACTGGCTTTAATGGCTTTGAGGATAGAGGAAAGAGATGAAGAATCTCTCTCTGTTATTCGTTTTCTTTTCTTTTTTTTTCTTTTTTTCCTTTTTTTTCTTTTTGGATAATGGAACATGGCATCACTAACACATGGTGGTAACATGAGGGATGTTTGACCATGTGACTAGGTCAGGTTTTGTCTTCATTAGCTTTTTTATCTTTTTTGCATAACACATGGATAGCATACCATAGCTATCTTTTATAAATTTATTGAGTCCCGTACCCACACCCGCATCCGTACCTATGTAACCTAGGTTTTTACTAACAACCCACACTTAACCAAATGGATATGAGAGACTATTTGCACCAATGCATGCTATTACTCTTCTGTTATTTGCGTAAGACAGAAATTTAGATAAATTATTCAATGTTAAACGGATTTCATTACTAGTCAACTAAAGAGGTAACTATGAATAAGTAGACCTTCAATGAATTTACTGACTGGGTACAAATTTCCAATCAGGAGATCAATTCAGAATTCAGTAGCTCTCCTGTGAGGCTTCAAATGTTCCTCACTATCACTGGCTTCGCCTATTTCATCTTTGCAAATCTAGTTCCCTCCATGTCGGCCATGAGAAATTGGCTAGCAACCTCGGCAATCCTCACAATAATCTACGATGTCATTCTCTTCGTAATCTTAGTTAAAGATGGTGCTTGGTCCCTCTTCCTAATAACTTTATTTAAATCTTTGTGCATTAGTACAAATTTGAAGGCCGTATTATGACGTCAGGTTTTCTTTCCTGTGTCCATGATTTTCTTAGGGTGTGCAAACAAAAACAAGGATTACAATATCAGTGGAAGTAAAGTGGATAAATTCTTCAATGCATTTGGTGCAATTGCTGCAATTCTCGTCTGCAACACCTGTGGTTTGCTTCCAGAGATGCAGGTCATTTGGACATGCAAAATGATGATGGAAAACACTTTATTTTTCAATCTCCAACCTCTGTAATTATTAGATTGAAATGTCAATCTATTAATGCACCAATCCATGTTTTGCAGTCAACTCTTCGAAAGCCAGCAGTTTCGAACATGCGGAAAGCTTTGTCATTACAGTTTACATTGGGTCTGGCAATATACTATGGTGTTAGCATAGTTGGCTACTGGGCATACGGTTCATCAGTTTCAGACTATCTCCCGAAAGAATTAAGTGGACCTAAATGGGCAAAAGTTCTGATAAATTCTACAGCTTTTCTACAAAGTATAGTTTCTCAGCATGTAGGTTTTCCTCTACATGTGCTTTTTATCATTAAGTTTCATGTTTCTTATATGGTTAGACAGTGTTTTAACTGTGTCTTTTCCATAAAATCAGATGTTTATTGCACCAATACATGAGGCTCTGGATACCAAGTTCTTAAGTCTGGAAGAGAGCATGTTCTCAAGAGAGAACCTTATACGGAGATTTCTTTTAAGAGCACTAGTTTTTGGAATAAATACATTTGTTGCAGCACTGTTCCCTTTCATGGGAGATTTTGTAAACCTTTTCGGGTCTTTTGCTCTCTTTCCGCTAACCTTTGTTTTCCCCAGCATGATTTTTGTCAAGGTATGAGCTGCTAAAGTTCCATCCTGTTTTTTGTGGAGTTCATTAGATATATCTGAGTCAAGTTCTTAGTTCTCTGTTCCACTGCTGTAGGTCAAAGGAAAATCTGCTAGAAGGGCAGAGAAGGCATGGCATTGCGCCATCATTGTCATCTCCTCTCTACTATCGGTAGTAACTACTGCTGCTGCTATAAGATTGATAATCAGTAATGCCCGCAAGTACAGATTCTTTGCAGATACATAATACTTCAAGTTCCGATAAAGATATAAACTACATGGTACACCATTGTAAGATTTCAATATTGTTGTTGTTGTTGTTGTTGTTGTTGTTGTTGTTGTTATTTTGTGTGAAAAATCTACTAAACAGATATTGTGACATTGCTATATATTAGACCTTACTAGTACTTGCACAAATTCAGAAGTATTCATTCTCAACTTTTTGGTTGGAAATGTACTTAATTAGTCATCATGCGCTGATCAACAAAACATAATAATTTTAAGTTCAATGTTTTAACATTTAGTAGGATTCTGTTTGGATAAATTCTGATCAACAAAACATAATAATTTTAAGTTCAATGTTTTAACATTTAGTAGGATTCTGTTTGGATAAATTTATCTATATTTATTATCAAAACCAATGTTTTAACATTTAGTAGGATTCTGTTTGGATAAATTTATCTATATTTATTATCAAAACAGAATTGGACACAAAACATGTTTCCCTCAAGTTAGTGATGCCTACCTCGCCCTTTACTGAACAATGAATGGCTTATATTTAAGCATTCAGCTGTTATATGTGCTGAACTTGAAGTTTTAGTTCATTATATAATAAATGAAGATGGAGAAACAAATTAGCAATGCAAAAGGCATAATCCACCAGAACATGCTTCAAAAGCAAATACTGAACTAGTGATAAAGCTAAGTACTCTCTACCGGCTAAGTGAACCCCAATATGTATTGCTGAAGGTTGTGGCATTATTCTCCGCAAAATCAGAGAAGAAGAAAAAAAATCTAAGGTTGATGGTGGACTTTATAAGAGAACATCCTTTATTGGTTTTCAGAGTTTCTGGTATAATTGTGTGATATTTGAGAGTTCAGCCTCCTCAAGTGGCTATCGAAGATGATAATTAAAGTTTCTGGTATAATTGTGTGATATTTGAGAGTTCAGCCTCCTCAAGTGGCTATCGAAGATGATAATTAATCACAGAAAGTTAAAGTTTTCAGTTTTGAGAGTTCAGCCTCCTCAAGTGGCTATCGAAGATGATAATTAATCACAGAAAGTTAAAGTTTTCAGTGAACTTCACTAACTCATGGAGATAAGAAACATATGATCGACCACCCTAAATATTAAGAAACTACAAGATTTGGGTTTGAAATTTTGCCCACACTAAAATCAACAACTCCTCACTTGTTGATAATCTATATCTGAGTGAACACTACATTAGCATGAAAAACAGACATATGTAGCACCAAATATTATATATATGTTCACATATGAGTAGTTTCTCTAGAAGAATAGATGTCAAGTCGATATAAAAATCATAAAGATATATCATTTACTCTCTAATAGAAAGGATGTAGAAATTAAATTGATAATCTAATGTCGCGATTAGATAATATTTAAATTTGAATTATGGGACTGTGAAGTCTCTTTCGAAGACATCTGATAAAATTATGGGATTGGAAGCAGCCATATTATGCCTGCATATGGCCAATTCTAGAACTGATAACTGGCAGGTTTGTTACTAACATTTATACAGAAGCACCAGCGGGGACATAATAAGAAGAGTAAACCATGCATCAACTAGTGCAAAACTGTATTGATAGACCAGCTTTATTTAGCATATTAATTTATAGATGAATATGTACATCAATCTACAAAACTGAAACCTCGTTTCGATAATCATACATGAATACGTGACATATTTCAGAGATTTTAATTGCCACTGGATGAAAGCAAAAATGATATGTAACAAAAGAAACTTACAAGCAAAAACAATCTAGTTAGAACTAATTAAAAATCATGTATCCAGTGTTTTAAAAAGCGGACACCTAGACGGTTTAGCATATTAATTTACAGGTATGTATGTACACCAATCTACAAAACTGAAACCTCGTTCCAGATAGTCAAACATGAATATGTGACATATTTCAGAGATGCCAATTGCTACTGGATGAAAGCAAAATATGGAATGAAAGAAACTTATAAGCACAAACAATCTAGTTAGAATTACTTAAACATCACGTATCCAGTGATTTAAAAAGTGGGCGCCTAGATGGGCGCCTAGACAGTCTAGGCAGCGCCTAGGCCTAGGCGGTACCTAGGCAGCTTACGCGGACTGCACTGCTAAGACTTGATCGTAATTTCCTTCACTATAGCATCTACATCCTCCAATCTCCTCCGAACTCCTCCGGCCTCCTCCACCAACTATAAACACATCTATCTCCTCTGACCTTCAGCAAAACATTTTGTACAAGAAAAAATCAGCCTAGACGCCAATCCGACGCCTACTGGTACCTAACGTTTTCTATAACATTGGCATTTATTATAAACTATTGTAACTAAAAAAAAGAAAAAAATGCCTAGGTCTCCGCCTAGGGTCCTAGGCTTGAAGGCGCCGGGTCCGGCACCTAGACTACCTAGCGCTTTCTGTAACCTAATGTGCATCACAATGGCGAAAGTTCCCCTAATTGAATAATTGCCCTGAACTTTAAAAATATCAGTTAAGCACCTTATATTTTGTTAGATAACACATCTAACTAACACCGTTAGATCTAACTGTGCATGCGAAAATCACATGTCCAAATGATAAAAACTCCCCTAATGGAAAAAAAATCCTTTCATGTCCTTTTTTAATAATTTTAAAGGTAGTTCTCACATAAACCCCTTAGGCTTAGGGATTTAATTAATTAATCTATTTATTGATCAATTAATTTAATTTAAAAATTAGAGTGTTAATTTGAAAAGGGTATTTCGGTCTTTGTACCAATTCATTACTACCATTGGGGGGTAGTTGAAAAAATCAAAAACATGTTAGCGTTTCTCTGAAAGACTCCTAACTTAAGGGGGTTAAGTGATATTTGTAAAACAAAAATTTTGGTTGGGGGGTTACTCATCATCACCCAAACTTAAAGGGCGTTTGTGACATTTTAAAAGTTAGGGGGGCTCTATTAAAAACTTCCAAACTCAAGTTGTTTTGTGAAATTTACCCTTTTGCATTACAAGATGTTCACGTTGAAATGATAGTGATGAATTCAAGTAAGAAGGTATACTCAAGGTGAGCATTCAAATCAAGCTACAAAGATGAAACCACATTTTAGACAATCAAAAGTGAATGTGATATATAAAAAGAATCTGAAATTAATAAGAAACTTACAAATGCAGACAATGACGATCGAGATAGAAATTAATGCATTACTAGCTAGTTAAACCCTAATAAAGGATATCATGCAGGGCTAAAAGAAATGTTCTGCGGACAATCCAAAAATCCAAAGCCTAACCTGATCAAATAAATTCTGAAACCACGCTGAGCCACCCAAACCTCTCCATTAAAGTTGATCGATTGAACTCAATTACTATTAAATTCCGACAGAGGTCGGTGGTGGTGGGGCTTGGGTTAGGGTTTGGGTCCGGGGATGAAGAGGGAGGCTGAGAGGGAGAGGGGAACAGAGATCCATGGAGGTGAGGACGATTTTTTTTTTTTTTTACATTTTATTTTCACTATTAGAATTTCAACATTAAGAACTGGGATATTTGCTGCCCAAAGTTTTACCTCCGTTTACCTTAAAAACCAACAAAATTCTGTAGGTTCTCAATTCTCACAAACCCAAACCAAAATTTTCTCACAGACCCAACATACAAATTTTACCTACGGTTAAGTCCAAAGTATAGAATACCAACTGTATAGCTACATACTAAGGGCGTATAGCCGCCGCATACTTTAGGGTATATGACTACATATTTATACGTAGTTATATACCTTGTGTTCTATACTTCGGGTTTAAAGTCGAGTAAACTTTGCATTTTGGGAGTGTGAGAAAATATAGGAACTACATGGGTTTTTAAGTAATTTTGTGGTTTGAGGGTTGGATTTGTTTTTCTATTCTTTTCTTTTCTTTTCTTTTCTTTTCTTTTGTGGGCGTTTTGTTTTTTTGGGTTTATGAGCGAAAATCTGTAGATAATTTTAGGTTTTTAAGATATTGATCCCTAATAAGACTATAACAATTTGAGGGAGGTATCTGAAACCCTTTACTTCCAGAATATTCTCAAAATATTTAGTTATCCCAACTATGACCTCTGCTTTATTCCAATTACTTCCTTAATTTGTTAAAAAAGTAAAATCTAACCATTGTTATAAATTTGAATATCCCTTTATATCCAATGCAATTAAGAGAGAAAAATGAATATTCATATCTATTGGTATGTCTGTATTTGTATTTGTTAGGATACAAATATGACTACTAAATATATATATTTGATAAGATATGGTGGATGGAGATGTGCAACAAAATATCTAGATATGTGTCTAAAATATCCATATATATGCGTGATCATATAGATGCAGCTGTTTTGATCCTTAGATTAATGGATTTGAGATCAATATCACATGATATTTTTCCATAGTTTTTCACATATAACAAACATATTAATGCTCTCGTGTATCATATGAACTATTTTTTAAATTTTATCTCGTTTCTCATATTTGTTGTGTGTATATATATGTATTCTAGATATTTTGTCTAAAATATCCATATATATGCGTGATCATATAGATGCAGCTGTTTTGATCCTTAGATTAATGGATTTGAGATCAATATCACATGATATTTTTCCATAGTTTTTCACATATAACAAACATATTAATGCTCTCGTGTATCATATGAACTATTTTTTTAATTTTATCTCGTTTCTCATATTTGTTGTGTGTGTATATATGTATAATCGCATCTGATTTTTGCGAATATGGATATGAATCTTCTTTAATAGAACAAGTCTGTATTCATATATGTATCCTTAGTTGGTAAATGGATGCGGATATGATACCACATCGGAGCCATTTGCACCCCTAAATGCGATCATAAGAAGCAAGAGCCTCATTCTAACCCATAATTTCTTGCAAACTTTTGGCTAATTTCTTTGTTCCTAATCATTTTTCATGATCAGACAATTGTGACCAATCATTAAGTTCTCTTCCGAATGTTCCTTCCCCGCGCTAATAATTCATGATAGCACTAGGGAGAAAGTTTTTGAGTTACTTTTTCTCCTAATATGCAAGTGGCGTTGATGTATGTATTACGAAATGACCCCCCATTAAATTCAAGTTCTATTTGTACCCCACCATCAGAAAACATATGCCTACTTTCTTCCCTTGATTCAATGCATCAGACGCACGACGCACGCCTCTTTGATCTTTCTCATCTTACCATGCTTTAGGAGGAACGTGCATGCTAGAAGACAAATATGATAAATATGATATGGGGATTAACGATGATTAAGGCAAAAGAAAGACTTTATGCTTTTTTTAATGGGTTATTTCGTATTAGCCCCTTTAATATTTTGTTATGGCCCCTCAAATCTATGAAATTAATAACAGGCCCCCAATATCTTCAATATTTTGATATTAGCCCCCAATCTTTAAAGTTGATCTCAGGCCCCCCAAAGTCTTTAACATTTTGATATTAGCCCCCAAATCTTTGAAATTAATATTAAATCCCCTAAATCTTTGAAATTAATATCAAACCCCCCAAGTCTTTGAAATTTGACCTCGGACCCCCCAACCCCAAAAAATCTTATCAGTATGTTGAAATAAGCTCCCTAGCTAGTTAAAATATGATTAAGATGGAAAAATATTCTGTTTAATTTAACTTTTTTTGTGATTTGCTAGTTATTCCCCACTCTTACAAACCCAAATCTATTGACCACTTTACTTGTTGAGCTTCCCAAATTCGATTAACAATACCTTAACTCAAATCCACTTTCCACTTCAATGTCTTCCTCGATAGGAATATATCCGATGTAAATTTGGGGTTAGAGCTGAACAGAGCTGTTGGAGAAGATGAAGTATAAAATGAATTTGGTTTAGGGTTTTATTAAAGAGATTTTGAAAGCTTAATGGATATAAGTTAAATTAGTTAATGAGTTCGGGGATTTGTGTGAGAGGGGTATAATTGACAAATCACCAAAAAAGTTAAAACAAATAAAATACTCCCTCATTTCAATTAGATTTTAACTAGGAGGGCTTATTTCAACATACTAATAGGACCCGGAGGCTGAGATCAATGTCAAAGATTTGGGGAGCTAATATCGAATTATTGAAGATTTTGGGGGACCTGAGATCAATTTTAAATATCTGGAGGGCTAATATTGTAATATTAAAGATTCGTGGGGCTAATATTGAAAATAACCCTTTCTTAATTCAATTAATTTTCACGCGCTCTAAAAACTAATGGCACAGTTAGGTGATTCAAATTCATTAAGTTGTACACAAAATGATCTTGTCTTGTGGTTCCTTTCGACCGTTTTGCTTGAAAGAGTCGACAGATGTCAATTTAGTAATTATATCATATATTTAACTTGTCAGCAACAAAAAATTTCAAAACAAAGATTGAGTGGCCCTGAGATGAGACAAGATGCGTTTCTTCGATATTCACATAATCCTACCTAAGAAGGCGAAAGATGCATCTTTATAATTGGATATACCAAATTATTTCAGATTTCAAATATTCGAGTATAGTCCGCTGGACTGTGACGTTGGATGAAATCATATGCCGCTCTGAAGCGCAAAGCAGAGGTTCAGCTTACTTGTTTGGATCTCACTAGGGGTAAGAAAAGTCAAAAGAAAAATAAGGGAGACAAGAGGGAAAAAAAAAGTTAGCTAGAGAGAATTCTTTAATTCTTTTTTCCTCAATTGATTCCTAATTAAGGAGTAATAATTTTTGTGTGTTAAGGTGAACTAGGAGAAACCCTTCACCTCATAAAAGCTATCCAGACAAGGTGAATGCCTCACTACCTTCCCTTCTTCCATGTTCACCCAATCCAATTAGGCCCTTAGGTCCTGTTTGACAAATGGTTAATGGAAGGGCTAAGGGGGCTCAACCCCTCATTAACAAGCCCTCACGTGGTGCTAAAGCAAGCCCCTTGTTAATTTGTCAACTGGCGGGTCAACAATTCCGCGTGAAGAGGCGGATGAAATTTGTTCCACCTCTTCACGCGGGGGTAGGGATTAAAATTTTATCTAAATGAAACAGAATATATTATAAGATAGATATATCTCTCTTTACCAAAAAAAATTCATGCCAGGACTGCAAAATTCTTTACACAATTTCTAACTAGCGAACAATGTCAAGTTGGCTAAAAAAAATCTATTGAATCATATGATCGTTTTGAGTTCATGTGATGTGGAGCCATGAAATTGTCTACTCTTTCTTTCTATTGTACTTGTCTATACATGAATCATATGTGATAGTCAACACATTTATATGTTCATGATAAAATGATTTAGATATAGATCATCATCCCTCTTGACATTTAATTTCAAATTTTAATTTTATGCTAAAATGATATAGACATACATCATCATCTCTCTAAAACATTTAATTTTCATTTTTGGTTTCATGCTTTAAGTCTCATATCCATCTAAAAATGTATATCATTTCCCCCTCTAATGATAAAATGACAGTTTATGTTTTACTATAAGAATTGTTAGTATCGTATACCTATATAATCAAAAGATATTATTTTTTGAAGCTAAATTTATTTTACTCTTTTTCAACAATCATTTATTTAAATAATACAGAAATGCGAATATTTTTATAGTTGAGATAAATGAAGATTCAAGTTGAACTAATCTTAGTGTACAAATTCTTGGTAAATTTTTTGTCTTTCAATAAGGTTAAAGTTGGTATTTTTTTTAAAAAAAAATAGAGGGATTAACACACTTAACCTTTCTTTATTTGCCAAACAAAAAAAATGTTAGCCCTTTATGTTAATTATCTAATCCAAACATAATTAGATTATTTTTAATCATTAAGATAGATTAACTAAGTTAACCTTTCTCCTCGACCCCCTTTCTTAATATAAGCCCTTGCTAAATGATACCTTTGGAAAATTTTCTTTTTATACAGGTGAACTCTATAAGAGAGAGAGAGAGAGAGAGACGGGGGGGATTAATTTGGACAAGTGCCCTACTGAAAAATTTAAATCAGTGTACTAATATTGTACAAGTGTAATTATCAACGTTGTATCAGTGCAATTAGAATTTCAATCGGAGTGACCATCAATTTAAAGATCGATATGTCCAAATAATCGTCTCCATCTCCTTCCTAAAGTGACTTCCTACCTTTCTTTTTTCAATAAAACAGTGAGAAAGTATCCTTGTGTTTCATTGATAAGAATAAAACAAAACAATCCAAAAATACACAAGTAAATAAAGTCAGGTACAAAGAAAGCCAAAGCTAGCTAACCTCAGTGATACAAGATAGTCCGAAAGAAAAAGAAAAAAAAAAGTAGGCCGGCCGGTGTAGGAAGCTGGACAGAACAACGCTGCTGAGACTAGAGGTCTTCACCTCCAAGATAGGAAAAATTCTTTGGTGTTCCATAAGCACTACATCATACCAATAGAAAAAAGCCGCGTGACATAAATTATTTGTAAACGAGAAGGTGATGGAATTAAATATTCTTTTGTGTTGCGTAGTCTCCTCATATCTGTGCTTTGCATGCTTAATGAAAACCCGAGAATTT